AGCGAAACTCCGTCTCAAAAAAAAAAAAAAAAAAAAAAATAGTCTAAGATTTGGCTGTCACTAATTAGTATTCTCAAGAATTTTATTTTTCTATTTTAAGAAGAAAAGGAATTTCGGTCACATTTTGCTTGTAATGAAAATTACATCCTCATTCTTTGTGTAGTATCTACACATTGTTATATGCCAAATAACAAAGTCTGTCTTAAATCCTTGTACATATTTGTATGTCGCCATAACTGTTGTATCATTTTTATCTTCATTATTGTGCAAAATGTAAATGAGCATTTGTACATTGACTGTATAAGAAATCCTGGGCTGGGTGCTGTGGCCCATGCCTATAATCCCAATACTTGGGAGGCCAAGGGAGGAGGATTGCTTCAGTCCAGGAGTTTAAGACCAACTTGGGCAACATAGTGAGCCCTCATCTGTACAGAAAAATTTAAAAATTAGTTGGGCATGGTGGCATGTGCCTGTAGTCCCAGCTACTCAGGAGACTGACATGAGAGGATCACTTGAGGCCAGGAGATTGAGGCTGCAGTGAGCTGTGATTGCACCACTACACTCCATCCCAGGTGAGAGGGTGAGACCCTGTCTCAGAAAAGAAAAAAGAAAGAAATTCTGGACATGTTTTTATCAGTTTTCAGGACTTCATATCAATGTACATAAAATGGCTAATAAAAATTGGAATTGAGGTTATTGAAAAAAACTATTTTCTGTATGACTAGAAGCAATTGCACAGCCATCTAAAATCTGTCTTTTTAAATATCTACTTATGTCTTTAAATTTTCTTAGTATAACTTAATGTTCCTATGGTTTCCAGGGTCTGGGGGAAAATGAAAAATAACTGCTTAATGGATATAGAGTTTTTTGAGGGGTTGTGATAAAACTGTTTTGGAACTTGATATAGGTGGTATAGTTGCATAACATTGTGAATTTACTAAATGCCACTGTATTGTACACTTTAAAATGGTTACTTTTGTGTTATGTAAGTTTTACCTTAATTTTTTTTTTAAGTCTTAGATACTATATTAGTCTGTTTTCACACTGCTGATGAAGACATACCCAAGACTGGGAAGAAAAAGAGATTTAATGGACTTACAGTTCCATGTGGCTGGGAGGCCTCACAATAATGGTGAAAGGCAAGGAAGAGCAAGTCATATCTTACATGGATAGTGGCAGGCAAAGAGAGAGCTTATGCAGGGAAACTCCCATTTTTAAAAGAATCAGATCTTGTGAGCCACATTCACTATCATGAGAACTGCCCAGGAAAGACCCGCCCCCACAATTCAATCACCTCCCACTGTGTTCCTCCAATGACACATAGGAATTGTGGAAGTTACAATTCAAAATGAGATTTGGGTGGGGACACAGCCAAACCATATCTTTCTACCCCTGGCTCCTCCCAAATCTCATGTCCTCACATTTCAAAACCAATCATGCCTTCCTAACAGCCCCCCAAAGTTTTTTGTTTTTTTTTTTTT